GCTGAAACCTTGAATATTAATTGCCACCTGCTGTTGTTATGACATGGCCTTTGGCAGCTTTTCCTGAATATACATCCATATAACATATTGTGCCTGTTAAAACCAGAAGAGGGGTTTGGATGTCCTGGAGCTCAGGTGACAGACTACATGCCCATGTGAAGGTGCTGGGAAATCCAAGTGAGTCTTCTGAAATAGCAGGAAGTGCTTTTAATCACTACGTATTCTCTGAAGCCCAGCAGAACAGTGGGTTTTATTGGGGTGACTTACAGGGGTGTGGGTGAGGGGTTACTTATAGGATCACAAAAGACTCACTGACAGCTGCATCACCCTGTGAGGGTGATGTCTAATGAAGCTGGAAACCTGGGGATCACTGCACAGGTTGCAGGCAGCTCAAGGGAGGTTGGAAGTGACTTTAAAGCCACTCACTACCTCCTCCAGGCAGCTTGTCTTGCGTGGTCCAGGCAGCTTGACTGGTGTCTGTGTTGTGGCCAGTCTGAGCATCTTTTGTGCAGCTCAGCTTGTGTGACAGTGTTATCAGTCCTTATCAATTTCATATGATTGAGGCAGAAGGGCACTAGTGAGTGTGGCCAGTTCCTATGACTTCCCAAAGCTATTAAGTTTTCTATTTCTGAGTTTTAGGAGCTTCTCTGCAGGTCTGAAGGTATCACCTCCCCTCAGAGTAGTGTCTCCCAACTCTTGTGTCATGATCCCTTTGGGGGTCTCATATCACGTATCTTTCATGAGATATTTATAATTCATCACAGTAGCAAAATTATTGCTATGAAATAACAAAGTAATTTTATGGATGGGGATCACCACAGCATGGGGAACTTTATTAAAGTGTTATGTCACCAGGAAACTTGAGAATCACTGTTTTAGGACAGCCCATTCCTTTACCTGTGTTTGAAGGAGAGTCCTCCAAGATGAAGGATTTACTCTCAGGGGAAACTAATACACAATAACCATTCCTGGCACGAACTCTAAGGACTATCTTATCAATGAGCACTAGCCCATCATGTTGCTTTATTCACTCTAGGAGATGGAATCAAACCAGATGTCTATGAACAGAAACACAGGTAATTGAAAAAGTGACACTTATCTATATAAACCAACATATCATTCAGATGCACAAAACAACCTAAGACCCAAAAGTCAAGCATCACATGTTCCCTCACGTATGTGTCTAAGCTACAAACTTTGTGTGTTCTACTAAGACTACATGTAGAAGCCAGGAATCTAGAAATGGACCATTAGTGAGAGGGGGTGGATAGTACAATATAGATGATAAGAAATTTCAAAGTGAGATTCGAGGGGGCAGCAGAATGTTTCAAATAATGAGAGGAATGGCGGAGAAGAGAGGGGGCTCCTGAAAGCTCAACCAAAGGTGACCATGAAGCTACGTGGGAGCCTATCATTTTGAAATCGGTGGTTTGCATCAAAACAATCATTCACCACGATCAAGTAGGTTTCATCCCAGGAATGCAGGGATGGTTCAACATACGAAAATTCATCAACGTAATCCACCATATAAACAAGCTGAAAAACAAAAATCACATGATCATCTCACTAGATGCTGAAAAAGCCTTTGACAAAATCCAACACCCCTTCATGATAAAGGTCTTGGAGAGATCTGGGATAACAGGGACATACTTAAACATAATAAAAGCTATATACAGTAAACCAACAGCCAACATCAAACTAAATGGACAGAAACTCAACGCAATTCCTCTAAAATCAGGAACAAAACAAGGCTGTCCACTCTCTCCATACCTTTTCAACATGGTACTTGAAGTTCTAGCTATTGCCATACGACAACAAAGGGGGATCAAGGGGATACAAATTGGGAAGGAAGAGGTCAAACTTTCACTGTTTGCAGACGATATGATAGTTTACATCAATGACCCAAAGAACTCTACCAGGGAACTCTTACAGCTGATTAACACCTTCAGCAAAGTGGCAGGCTACAAGATCAACTCAAGAAAATCAGTAGCCCTACTATATACAGATGATAAAAGGGCTGAAAGAGAAATCAGAGAAACATCACCCTTTACAATTGCCACAAACAACATAAAATACCTTGGGGTAACAGTAACCAAACAAGTGAGAGACCTGTATCGTAAGAACTTTGAATCTTTAAAGAAAGAAATTAAAGAAGCCCTCAGAAAATGGAAAGATCTCCCATGCTCTTGGATAGGTAGGATCAATGTAGTAAAAATGGCAATCCTGCCAAAAGCAATCTACATATTCAAAGGAATCCCCATTAAAATCCCAGCACAATTCTTCACAGACCTTGAAAGAACAATAATCAATTTTGTATGGAAAAACAAAAGACCCAGGATAGCCAAAACAACCCTGTTCAACAAGGCAACGTCCGGAGGCATCACCATCCCTGACCTCAAGCTCTATTATAGAGCTATAGTCCTGAAAACAGCTTGGTATTGGCACAAAAATAGACAGGTAGACCAATGGAATCGAATTGAAAATCCGGGTATTAACCCACACACGTACGAACATCTGATCTTTGACAAAGAAGCTAAAAATATACAATGGAATAAAGAAAGCATCTTCAACAAATGGTGCTGGCATAATTGGAGACTGGCATGTAGAAGAATGCAGATCGATCCATGTCTATCGCCATGCACAAAACTTAAGTCCAAATGGATCAAAGACCTCAACATAAATCCAGCCACACTGAACCTCTTAGAAGAGAAAGTGGGTGGTACCCTTGAACGAATTGGTACAGGAGACAGCTTCCTGAACATAACACCAGTAGCACAGGCAGTAAGATCAACAATTAATAAATGGGACCTACTGAAACTGAGAAGATTCTGTAAGGCAAAGGACACAGTCAGCAAGACAAAAAGGCAGCCCACAGAATGGGAAAAAATATTCACTAATCCCACATCTGACAGAGGGTTGATCTCCAAAATTTACAAAGAACTCAAGAAGCAAGTCTCCAAAACACCAAAGGACCCTATTAAAAAGTGGGCTGCAGAACTAAATAGAGAGTTTTCAATAGAGGAGTCCAAAATGGCTGAGAGGCACTTGAGAAAGTGCTCAACATCCTTAGCCATCTGGGAAATGCAAATCAAAACAACTCTCAGATACCATCTCACCCCTGTCAGAATGGCCAAAATCAAAAACACCAATGATAATTTATGCTGGAGAGGATGTGGTGAAAGGGGGACACTCCTCCATTGCTGGTGGGAGTGCCAACTGGTTCAACCACTTTGGAAATCAGTGTGGAGATTCCTCAGAAAAATGGGAATAAACCTACCACAAGACCCAGCAACTCCACTCTTAGGCATATATCCAAAAGATGCCCATTCATACAACAAAGATGCCTGTTCCACTATGTTCATAGCAGCTTTATTTGTAATTGCCAGAACTTGGAAGCAACCTAAATGTCCCTCACCTGAAGAGTGGATAGAGAAAATGTGGTACATCTACACAATGGAGTACTATTCAGCAGAAAAAAATAATGGAATCATGAGATTCGCAGGCAAATGGATGACACTAGAAGAAACCATCCTGAGTGAGGTAACCCAGTCACAAAAAGAGAAACATGGCATGTACTCTCTCATATATGGATTTTAGACTTAGATCTGGGGAGTGCCAGCCTACAATCCTATGGCCAGAGAGTCTGGGAAACAGAAACTTTATTTAGTGGCTGATCGAAGAAGAGGCAGACTCCCTTGGTTAAGTACTGAGCTGAACTCAAGAAAGCTAGTAACAGAGAGGGAGGACTGATGATCAAAGGGATTAAGACTGGGCTGGTTTAACCCCCAGAAACAGCTGACCAGACAAAGGTTAACTCTTGAATCCCAGGCATCAGCCTGGGAAGCCAGCATGGGACTGATCAAGACCCCCTGAATCTGGGTGTCAGTGAAGAGGCCTAGGTAATCTATTGAGCCTTGGGCAGCAGATCAGTACCCATCCCAAGTATACACACGGACTTTGGACTCCATAGAACAATGTGAGGTGCACTCTCACCCTGAACTCTTGGGGAAGGGTCTAGGTCCTGCCCTATATGAAATGACACACTATGCACACCCCCATGGAGGGCCTCACCCTCCCTGGAGAAATGAGGGGATAACGGGGGGGGAGGGCACGGGAGGAAGGGAGGGAATGGGAGAGGGACCTGGAACTGACTTGTGAAGCAACCTTATTTCTTATCTAAATTTAAACTGGAAAATAAAATTAAAAAAAAAAAGAAATCGGTGGTTTGACTATTCTATGAAGATACTGAAGGTGAATAGAAGGTATGAATGTATCAGTGTTTTCTTTAATAATGAGTTTTCTTTTATCTCTGCAATTTTAGCACTATGTAAATTATTTGTCAATTCAATGTATTTGGGGAAGTCTAATTTCCAATAGACAGAAGGGCATGGGGGGTATATATTCTATACCTTTGTATGATTTCTCAGAAGTATGAATTTTGTGATGTGCATCACAATTAGAGGGAAAACTAAAGATTTTGTCATATTTTTATATTATTTTATTAGAATTATTTTGTTTTTGACAAAGTGATTATGTAGTCCTGGCTGTCCTGGAACTCAGTATGGAGATGATGATGTCCTGCATTCTCAGAGATCTTACCTGGGATTCCTGAGTGCTAGAAATAAAGGAGTGCACCACCACACCTGGCATTATTATGAATTTTTGGATGTTGAACAAGATAATTTTTTTCTGAATTTAAATTATAAACAAGCTTGTTTTTTTACATGTCAATCCCAGTTCCCCTCTCCCTTCCCTCCTCCCCTGCCCCCCAAAGATAATTGTTTTTATTACTGTTTTATCAGATGCTGGAGACACGGCTTAGTGGCTAAGAACACTGGTTGCTATTCTAGAGGACCAGGGTTCAGTTTCCAACACATGTGCAGCAGTTCACAATGGTCTATAACTGCACCTTCAGGGGAGCTGATACCACCTCTGGCCTCCACCAGCACATGTAGCAGACATACTTGCAGCATATATACACATTAAAAGGAATAAACAGCTTTTCCACTGTTACATCTGCAGAATTTTATTATAATATAAACTCTAGGATATTTTTTAATATTTAAAATTTCATTAAAGCCTTTTACAAGTTTCTTATCTTTATGTTTCTATGTTATATACTGTTGTGCTTTGTAGGCAGAGAGAACCAGAAAATTCTATGTCACATTATTTCAACAATAAGTTGAATACGTCAGTCTTTGCATTTGTATGGTTTCTCTCCATTATGGATTTTCTGATGTCTCCTTAAACCAGAAGAGTGGACAAAAGATTTGTCACATTCCTGACAACGGTAAGGTCTCTCTCCAGTATGAACTCTCTGATGTGTTCTAAGATGTGAGTCCTGTGTAAATGACTTGTCACATTCCATACATTTGTAAGGTTTTTCCCCAGTGTGAACACTCTGATGTCTACTAAGATTTGAGCAACTGGTAAAGGATTTGTCACATTCCTTACAACTGTAAGGTCTCTCTCCAGTATGAACTCTCTGATGTCTTCTAAGACTTGCAATATGAATATAGGATATGTCACACTGTTTGCATTTGTGAAGTTTCTCTCCAGTATGAATTTTCTGATGTGCTCTAAGATATGAGCAGCTAGTATAAGACTTGTCACATTCCTTACACCTGTAAAGTTTCTCTCCAGTGTGAACACTCTGATGTCTTCTAAGATCTGAGCGTTTGGTAAAGGATTTGTCACATTCCTTACATTTGTAAGGTTTCTCCCCAGTATGAATTTTCTGATGTGTTCTAAGTGTTGAGTTCCAGGTAAAGGATTTGTCACATACCTCACATTTGTAAGGCTTTTTACCACCATGGATTCTGTAATGTCTGTTGAGATGTGACAATTCAAGAAAGGACTTACCACATTCTTTGCATTTATGAACGTTCTCCAGAGAATGAGTTTTCCTATGCCTACTCAATGATGAATAGTGAGGAAAGGATCTGTCACAGTCATTGCACTTGTAAAGCTTCTCCCCAGTATGGAGTCTGTAATGGCTTTTAAAGTGTGAAAGCTGATGGAAGACCTTGCCACATTCTTGACATCTATAGTGTCTCCCAGCAGTATGCATTTTCTGATGCCTCCTGAAATTGGAATAGTGGGCAAAGGATTTGTCACATTCCTTACATTTGTAAGGTTTCTCTCCAGTATGCAACTTCTGATGGCTATTAAATGCTGACAACTGAGGAAATGATTTTCCACATTCTTTGCATTTGTAAGGTTTCTCCCCAGTGTGAAGTCTTTGATGTGTTTTAAGACTGGACCACTGGGTAAAAGATTTTCCACAATCATTGCACTTGTAAGGTTTAATTCCCATATGTATTCTCTCATGTACAGTGAGGCATGAGGCAGTACTGTAACATTTCCCACATTTTTCACACCGGTGTGGTGTCTCCCCAATGTAGATTGGTTGTTGCAAAAGCCTGTATGCAGAGCTGAAAGAGTCATCATATTCTCCCTGCCTGTGCTCTTTCTTTGCAGTGTACACTCTGTGATCTTGAGTAATGTTGGAACACAAATTTACAGATTTCTCACAGTCTTTAGATTGGCAAGGTTCTTCTCCAGTGTGCACGCTTTCATGTCTGTCTGGGTTTGATGAGTCAACAGAGGCATCCCTGTGACTACTGCATGTGTAGTTATTAGAGTTTTCTGTAGTTTCACTTGTTCTATGAAGTGCACATGTGGAGGGGTCATGAAGCACTTTGTCAAGGTCATTATACTGACAAGACTCCTTTTCAGTCTTCACATGGTGATGGACAGGATCACACTTGCAATAGTTTTCTGAAAATGAGTACAGTTCAGATTAATAGGGCTTGTTCCAATACTAAACATGTGATAAATGACTGCCTCCCTAAGTTCTTTTAAGATAAGTCAACCTTTGAACTATTTAGATTAGAGCTCCCAGTACTCAACAACAGATTTCATCGACTGTAACTGTATGGATTCTCACAACCACAGCATGACAGCCTTCAAAGGTCAGGGAGTTACAACAGATACCTCATCTTTATCCAAAATCACTAACTGGGAAAAGGAAGTAAAAAAATAATTTAGTTTGGTTAATTAGCTTTGGAGTAGAGCTCACTGAGTGACTATATTTAGAATACATGTCTCTATCTTAAAATATTTCTTCTCAGAAATTGATATTGAGGAGTTCAATCCAATCCTAGATTCACAGTATTCATACTAAGTGATAGATTTAATTCCTTTAAAGAGTAAAGTCTTCCTCAGTAGCATCACAGGGTTTATTTTACTCTCTAGAAAAACACATTGGATTCTTTAAAAGTAATGGATGAAAATATAGCATTGTGCCAAACACTAGAGGCTCTAGATCATTTGAGGCAGGGCTGTTGTGGGCTATACACACTGTTTTTTTCTTTGTCATTTTATCTTCTTCTTCTTTTTTTTTTTTGTAAACCAGCTCCTGAGATTATTTCCCAGAAGGGTGTTTGTGTATTTGCAACTGGGAAAAAAAGAAGGATATAATATGAAGATATGCGTACAAGGAAGGCAATTACAGAATAATCCTACATCATGGACTCACGTTAAGACTTACAATTTTGTGAAATTATGCCAATCTGATTTCAGCATAGTCAAATAAAACTGCATTTTGTACTAGTATTAAGTCACCATAATTAAGGTGTAAAATGACACAAGCCCTAGGGACAGTTATTACACCAGGCATGATGCATCCCTGGTAAGGATACTCCATTAAATTAAATGATCAGGAATCCTTTCAAGCAGAATTGAACTTCAAAGAAACAAAACGAAACAGGCTAATACCTGAGGTGGGAGCTTTTACTCGTGCATTTTGTTTTACATCACTACTGTGCAGTTTCTACTTCAAAGGAGAATATAGTGGATTTTCTTAAAGTCAGCCTCACTTCTGAATCCATAGTGATTTGTGTATGTACATAGGTTCTGGGATCCTGTTTCATATTGTACATGCAGGAACTCTATATAAATGAGTGCCTTTTATTCTCAAATTATGAGTCATATCATGGTCCCATTACAGGCCTATATACCTCCTGAAGTTGTCATTAGTAATTTTTTTTTTTTTTTTTGGTTTTTCGAGACAGGATTTCTCCATGTCGCTTTGGAGCCTATCCTGGCACTCACTCTGTAGACCCAGCTGGCCTTGAACTCAGAGAGATGCGCTTGCCTCTGCCTCCCAAGTGCTGGGATTAAAGGCGTGCACCACCAATGCCCGGCTCCCGTTAGTATTTTAAAGATGTACATATATATATGTATATATGTTAAATATGAGATTTCCTCACTAAAGCAGGGCTTCAAAATTTTGGGGAAAGTCTGACAGTGTATCACAAGAATTCCCATTTACCTCAAATATTAAGAATTACATTTAGATATGAAAGAGAAAACTTGTTTTGATCTCAAGTATAAAAAGTTTTTTTTTTTTTTGTTTTTGAGTTTTGTGTAGTTGTAGACACTTAAAAAGTTATAATTTGTTACTGAAAGTTGTTTGGAAAATCACACCTTTGAATGAATTATTGATGATTGCACTATCATTCTCTCTGCCATATGTGCAGAATCAAGTTTATGTCTGGAAATGCTAAGAAAGCTGAGTTGGTATTTGTCATCTTTGTTTAAAATTTGCGTTTGTATACTTCAGAGCTACCAAAGTAGATGGGTTGACCAATAACCATGGCTTGATTCTTACAATTAAATTTGGTAACTAATTGAAAAAAAAAAGAGGATTTCAACATCAAAAACATTCTTCTCAGCTCTGGCTTTCTCCATCACTTGAAGTCTTCACTGTTGTCCTGCTCATTCACTAGTCCACCCTAGCTGTGGTTCTCTCTCCTCTCCACATTCCAGGGCAATCTCATTCTTTCCAGATAGGTGATCATGTCTGCCTTGATACAATAATCCATGTGTTCTTTGAGACAGCAGTGAGCCATGACTGAACTTTTAGAAAGAATACAGAAGTGTAAGATAACACTGTGCACAATACATGAAAACACAAACAAGAATTTAAATAGGATTTCTTGATTGATGTTTGGCAAATTTTTGAGTATAATAAAGTATTTCAGTTTGGGTATCTTGAATTTTCCTCACAATTAAATCTATGTTAACTGTAATAATGAACATGGAGCTTTAAGATATGAATGGAAATATTCTATGCTACTGAGCTCAGGGATGAATCTTGGAACCTGAATGAAGGGTGGAAACACCTCTGAAATGGAAAATGCCAAGAGCATGAAAATGTTCTTTCCAAAAACTTAAACTTTGCCTTGACTCTTGTTTTTTTTTTTCAGCACAGCTTAACAGATTTTACACCTTTCTAAGTCAGAACAAACAAACGATGGGTCATGAATTTTGCAAAGAAAATGTTCTCACCCACAGAGAGGAGGTTGCTGTAATTCTCCAACATCACATCAATGTACAAAGCCCTCTGAGCAGAGTCCAGGCATTCCCACTCCTCCTGGGGGAAGTCCACAGCTACATCCCCGAATGTCAACATACCCTGAAACAAAAACATATGGTTTGATCACTTGCTACCTGGGTGTGCTTTCTTGGACATATGGAGACGGAATGTAGATGAATGAAGACAATTACTCAAAGTGATGATTTCTAATGCAGTCATATTGTATCACACATAATGTGGCAGGATACAAGGTAAACTAAAAAAAATCAGTGGCCCTATTATATACAGATGATGAAGTGACTGAGAAAGAAATCAGAGAAACATCACCCTTTACAATAGCCAAAAACAGCATCAAATATCTGGGGATAATGTTAACCAAGGAAGTGAAAGACCTGTATATCAAGAACTTTGTGTCTTTAAAGAAAGAAATCAAAGAAGATACAAGAAAATGGAAAGATCTCCCATGCTCTTGGATTGGTAGGATCAACATAATAAAAATGGCAATCTTGCCAAAAGCAGTCTACAGATTCAATGCAATCCCTATCAAAATTCCATCACAATTCTTCAAGGACCTGGAAAGAACATTAATCAACTTTATATGGAAAAACAAAAGGCCCAGTATAGCCAAAACAACCCTATACAATAAAGGAACTTCAGGAGGCATCACCATACCTGACTTCAAGCTCTATTATAGAGCTATAGTCCTGAAAACAGCTTGGTATTGGCACAAAAATAGGCAGGTAGACCAATGGAACCGAATTGAAAGCCCTAATTTTAACCCACACACCAATGAACACTTGATTTTTGACAAAGAAGCTAAAACTGTACAATGGAAAAAAAGAAAGCATCTTCAACAAATGGTGCTGGCATAACTGGGTACTGGTATGCAGAAGACTGCAGATAGATCCATGTTTATCGCCTTGTACAAAACTTAAGCCCAAATGGATGAAAGATCTCAACATAAATCCAGCCACACTGAAACTTTTAGAAAAGAAAGTGGGAGATACTCTTCAACGAGTTGGTACAGGAGACCACTTCCTAAACATAACACCAGTGGCACAGGCACTGAGATTGACAATTAACAAATGGGACCTTCTGAAACTAAAAAGCTTCTGTAAGGCAAAGGACACAGTCAACAATATAAAAAGGCAGTCCACAGAATGGTAAAAGATATTCACTAACCCTACATCTGACAGAGGGCTAATCTCCAAAATTTACAAAGCACTCAAGAAACAAGTCTCCAAAACACCAAAGGATCCAATTAAAAGGTGGGGTACAGAACTAAATAGAGAATTCTCAATAGAGCAAGCTAAAATGGCCAAGAGACACTTAAGAAAGTGCTCAACATCCTTAGCCATCAGGGAAATGCAAATCAAAACAACTCTGAGATACCATCTTACTCCTGTCAGAATGGCTAAAATCAAAAACACCAAAGACAATTTATGCTGGAGAGGATGTGGAGAGAGGGGAACACTCCTCCACTGCTGGTGGGAGTGCCGACTCATATAGCCTCCTTGGAAATCAGTATGGAGATTCCTCAGGAAAATGGGAATTAATCTACCACAAGACCCAGCAATTCCACTCTTAGGCATATATCCAAATGAGGCAAATTCATACAACAAGGGCATCTATCTGCTCCACTATGTTCATAGCACCATTATTTGTAATAGCCAGAACCTGGAAGCAACCTAGATGCCCCTCAACTGAAGAGTGGATAGAGAAAATGTGGTACATTTACACAATGGAGTATTACTCAGCAGAAAAAAACAATGGAATCTTGAAATTTGCAGGTAAATGGAAAGCACTGGAAGAAACCATCCTCAGTGAGGTAACTCAGTCGCTAAAAGACAAACATGGTATGTACTCACTCATATATGGATTTTAGACATGGATCAGGATAGTGCCAGTCTGCACTTCCACTGATAGAGAGTCTGGGAAACAGGAAAGAACCTAAAAGATATGCATATATGCATAGTACCCAAGAGAAGAGGATTGAGACAAGATCCTCTGAATGGATGGGGAACACGGCGAGGGGTGGGGGGGGGAGTGGGAGCTGGGAAGAAGAGAGGGGGAGAAGAGGAAGAGAGAGTAGGTCATGGGGGAACAGGAAGTTGAGTGGGTGGGGGTAGGATAGGGGGAAGAGGGAATCATAGGTTAGAAGACAGATTAGCACCAGAGTGACCTCGAGTAATCTAAAGGGATAACACCAATTGGCAAGCTAAGCAATAGTGGAGAGACCACCTTGAATGCCCATTCCTGATAATGAACTTGATGTCTATAACCATCTGGGAGCCTTCATCCAGTGATTAATGGAAGCAGAGGCAAACACACAATTAAGCACTGAACTGAACCCAAGGAACCCAGTGACAGAGAGAGGAGTGATGAGCAAATTGGCAAAGAATGGGCTGGCAAAACCAGCAGAGACAGCTGATCTGAACAGGGGAGAGCTCTTGGACCCCAGACTGACAGCGGGGAGGCCAGCATGGGACTGATCTGGACCCCCCCCAAATGTGAGAGTCAGTGAGAAGGCCTGGGCAACCTATGGGGCCCTGAGCTGTGGATCAGTGTCTATCCCTGGAATACAAACAGTCATCGTGTGCCCATAGCACAAAGAGGGATGCTCTCTCAGCTGGGACTCATAGGGGAGTGCCTGGACCCTACCCAGAGTGAAATGACAGACTCTAGATATCCCCTATGTGGAAGGATTTGGCAATAGGGTGGGAGGCTGGGGGGGAAGGGGAGTGTGGGAAGAGGGGAGGGAGAGGGAACTGGGATTGACATGTAAAACAAGCTTTTTAAAATTAAAATAAAAAATGATAAAAGAAAAAAAAACAAATACCCCCCCCCCCCCAAAAAAGAAGTGTATAAGCGGCAGTGGAGATATCGCGGTGCTTGGTGCACTACAGAATCTCCCCTCCGCACAGCGCCACTCTTCTACTTCAGGTGACGCCGGTGCAACAGGAGGACCAGGAGTACCTGGGGGCCCAGGATTAGGAGGACACGGTGGGCTTTTGTAGCGACTTCAGCAGCCGTCTCAGGGGCTAAGGCTGGCCGCAAGGTCAAAGTCTCGGCAAGGTCGAAGTCTCGGGGCTTGTGAAGGTAAAGCTGAAGACAAGGAATGGATCCCTGTCACCAAGCTGGGCCACCTGGTTAAGGACAAGAAGATCAAGTCCCTGGAGGGGCTCTACCTGTTCTCCCTGCCCAATAAGGCTGGTCGCTATTGAGGACTACATACAATGGTCATGTTGGTCTGGGTATTAAGTGTTCCAAGGAGGTAGCCACTGCCATAGGAGGAGTCGTCATCTTGGCAAGCTTCCCATTGACCCTGTGCGGAAAGGCTACTGGAGAAGCAAGATTGGCAGGCCCCACGCTGTTCCACGGAAGGTGACAGGCTGCTGTGACTCTGTGTTGGTGCTTCTCATCTCTGTCCTCAGAGGCACTGGCATCATCTCTGCTCCAGGGCTCAAGAAGCTACTGATGATGGCTGGTATTGATTATGCTACACATCAGCCAGGGGCTGCACTGCCACCCTGGGCAACTTTGTCAAGACCACCTTTTGTGCCATCTCCAAGACCTACAGCTAACTGACCACAGACCTCTGGAAAGAGACTGTGTTCACCAAGTCTCCTTATCAGGAACTCACTGACCATCTTGTGAAAGCCCACACCAGAGTCTCTGTTCAGAGGACCCAGGCTCCAACTTTGGTGACCACATAAGGGTTTTTATACAAGAAAAATAAAGTGAATTAAGTTGGTAAAAAAAAAGAAGAAGTATACAAGCTGGGTAGTGGTGGTGCATGACTTTAATCCCTGCATTAGGGGAGGGAGGGGTAAGCAGATTTCTGTGAGTTCGAGGCCAGTCTAATCTACAGAGAAAGTTCCAGGACTGCCAGGGCTACACAAGGAAACTCTGTCTTGAGAAAAAACAAAACAAAACAAACAAACCGTCATGGGATACATGAAACAAGACATACATTTGAAGTCTGGGCACAGGTGTCTATCGGTTATGGATGCTATGTTTATGTTACACAGGATCACAGCAAACATGTCTCAGAAGGAAAATTCATGATGAAATGAAGTACTTTAAATGCTGTATCTAAAGAGCATGCTAAAACACAGTCAAGCATATGTTTTCTTGGGCCTAATATAAATCTATTGTAACAGGCTCAGCTGAGATATTTAACTCTAGGTACAATGCCACATCATAGAAGAAAGTGGGTTAAACACAAGTATGGTTGTTTGGAAAATTCATAAGGAATTCATCTATTCCTTGGCTATTATCTACCCTTCCCCCCCTAAAAATTGCCAATAATATGTTTAGGTCTCTGTAAGCATATACATTTAGAGAATAAATGATAATTTCCCAACTACACTAATGATGCTCCTCATAAAGCCATAGAATTTCTAGCAAAACAACCTATAGCAGGTGTAGGAAGCCTGCTTTGAACTTTTTGGACACGGTTGTCCAAGAGACTTCCAAAAGTTGCAGGGTATTGCTGTTCCCCGTGGTTGCCTCCCGGATGAGGCAGGAGGTAAGTCGTTAGTGCTGAAGGAGCCACACACTTCAGACACAAATACCAAAGGACTGGAGACGGAGCTGATTAAAGCCTCCTTCCTCAGGACTAGCTTTCATGGTACCAGAAGGGAGTGTGTAAGTTTCCAAGGAGGGAGTCAAACAACAGTCCTACCTAGATATGACATCCATGAACCACAACAGTGATCTGCATTGCATGACAGCCCTAAAGATGCAAGAGTGGCACACATACCGTGACGGTGACCAACAGCTTCTAACTGGATGAAGACCCTCTCAGCAAGATGGAGAACATTTCTGGTACTGGGAAGCTAGTCAAGTTTCCCCAGGGCTAGCAAAGGCATGGATCCTGGAGGAGAGCCTACAGCCACTGCTTCCTAAGTCAGCATAAGTCCTTACTGCATTCTCAATATTTATCCGAATTTCCAACAGACAACAGCAGACAGTGCAGAGTGTAGCAGACTGTATATATATCTCCTGATTTGGACCAAAACTCTTGTCAGCATTATTTTCAAAACCACTACAAGGTACAGAATGTGCTAGAATACCAAAGGTCCAAAATTCTGACGACAGTAATTAAACTAGATGTATTAACTTTTATCATTTTTATTATATATTAAAATCAAAGAAATGAAAATGATTCAATAATGGTATGAAAACATGATCTGTGATTTGAATAAGGACAGAATCACTCACATGCAGAGTCAAAGCTTATTGACACAGTTATCAATTGTTCTGAACACAGTCTTCTCCTGTCTATGTTAGGATAATCCTGAGATTTTTGCCAGTGAAACGCTCCAGACTTCTTTCTAGAAAAACATGATGTAGCTGAACTCATTCCTGTCCCACTTACACATCCACTTGATTATCCTTCCCATCCCTTCACCAACCCCTCCCCCACACCTGCATCCTTAGCATCTGTCTCCTTTCTCCTTCCAGGCCCCTTTGTTCTCTGCACAGGTGAGCAGGTCTGGGTGATCAGTGAGCCCTGCACATGAGAAAGAGATTGTTCAGGAAGCCCCTGGATCTCTCACACAGTACTGTGCTCAGTAGATGAAGAGGAAACTAAATATAGGATTACACAAATGATTCCCCAATGTCATGCAATGTCACCATACTGATAAAAATTAGAAAGCATTTTTATTTAGCATCTTTTCAATCCCACGTCCAATCATAGCTCAAAACTTGGGAGCAGAAATGGTACTGAATGACTAGGAAGAGAGTGTCACACACTAGTGAGGTTGTGAGTTGATCGTGGACCAATAATGATGGATCCTTACACCTCCCAAGGGGACACACAAGAAGAGAGAACACTTCATGAAAATTTTCTACTTTTGCTTTGAGGATTTCACTTTATTCTGTGATATGTGAGACTCATTCACTCAAAGCTCACATACTTGCAGATTAGTTTGTCAAGAAATACTGAGGAGGAGCATCGGAGATTGCAAGCAATCAATTCACAAAGAAACCATTGTGGTGCATTTCTGCAACATCCAATCCCAGTACAAAGCCCTCAGGGCAGGGTCCAGGCATTGCCACTCCTCCTGGGAGAAGTCCACAGTCACACCACTGGCTGTCAACAGACCACAAAAGAAAAAAAAAACCCAAAACCTACTTTGAATCTTCCTGTGGGTGCACACCTTTAATCCTAGCACTTGGGAGAAACTTGTGCTTGGAACTCTGTTCTCCACTCCATCCTGGTCTACATAGTGACTTCAGGAACGGACAGAGCAATGCACTAAGTTCAAGACTCAAACACAGCAAATACAAAAACCAAAAATGACAGTTTGGTCATGTGTTCATAGACAGAGCGCTCTTTTGTTTGTACCAAGGAGAAAAAGACTATAGCAGACATTTTTTTGACATAGGTGAGTTATTGTAATTATTTGAGATGCTTACAAATACTATCCCATACTACAATGCATTTAAATTTATTTATGCTTTTTCTATTTTCCCCTGAAAGGGAGTTTTTCCTTGTAGTGCTGGCTGACCTTGAAGTCCCTAGGTACCCCTTGCAAGCCTCCAAATGACAGCGATCCAACTGCCTCTGCCTTCTGAGGGTTGGGATTTATGGCCTATCCCACCAGGCCTGGCAAAGACATCCCTCAGAATGCTGTATTTGTGTATGTCTCGTGGTAAATTAATGGTGGATAAAAGTTTAATTTTAAAAGTTAATGGTGACAAGGATACTGTGGAACTCGCAAAAAAATAGATACTTTCAGATTCAATGAAATTTCAGGAGTTTCTTCCATGACTAATGTCTCAAAGCCCTCACCGAAAGCAAGTCTCCAGGTCCATGTGTCACACTATCTTGCACAGGGAAGTGTATAACGCCGAAGTTAGCATGGATGACTGTAAATTTAAAGAGCGTTGCCACCATAGCAAAGAGAACCGTGATTGCAAATCTCAACAGATAAGTTCTAATATTCTATTAGAATATTTTAACAATGTTTTGGCAATCAGAAGTTCAGTTGAAAAAATAAGGCTTATTTCATAGGATCTAAAACACACCAAGGGAAGACACCCACATCAGAATTTGGGAGCCGGCTTCCCGATGAGCAGCAGAGAAACCGCTCGCACCCCGTCCCCTCCCTCCAGGGTCCCAGCCCCGCGGCTCCTCTGACCTGGGAGGTTCCAGGGCCGCCGGGCTGCGGTTCCCGCCACTGCGCTGCTGCTGACGCTGACTTTCCCAGGCCGCCCGCCCCGCGCGGACACTGCGGCTCCGGAGTCTCCAGGTCCCCGCGGCGTCCGCCGTGTCCCCCGCACCCGGGTCTGCAGCGCGCGATTCCCACAGTGCGGGACCCGGGGCAACGACAGGGAAGGGACACTTGTCACCGCCGGCTGAGGCTCCGCAGTCGACTTCCGTAGTCTCCACTTGGGTCACTGCTTCCGTTCCCGTCACTCCTGCAATCCCTCCCACGCTCCGGTCTTCACTTATGCCCAACCAATGGGCCACACGCTCTCCTCCACTGCTTCCGGTTTCGTGTCCCCGCCCCACGGCCCCGCCCCTCCCACTCAGTCTCCCCCGCCATCTCCAAGGCTGCAGCTGTCAGGCTGCCCTGGACCCGCTCCTCACAGACTCCACACACGCTTGCTGCAGCCTAGACCAGAGCTGCATCCGGGAGGACGCTGCACCCCGGGGTCTGACCCCACAGTGAGTTTTGAAACCTTCAGAGAAAAGACAGGCAGCCTAACCTCGACTTGACCACCAGACTCCAGGGCAGCAAAATCACACCAGACGATAACAGGCTAAATTCAGAAGCCAGCGTCCCATCGCCAACACAGACATCACAAGACAAAACCAAATACTGCAGTTGTGCCTCGGGGAGAGACATTTCAGGAACTTGGATTCTGAAAAGAAATTGGTGTCTCCAAAGTCAGTGGTCAGTCCATGGCTAACGGCCCAGGGCTGAGTTAATCCCGTGTTGTCACCACTAGATGGCGGTCGTCTCATTTTACTAACTAAAAAGTTTGTGATTCATGCCCTATGAAAACTGAGGAAGAGCAGGAGGAAAGGGAGTAAGAAGGGAGGAGGACGGCCTCAGACATGTCACTCTGTAGACTCCACACAGCTGTTGTGATCAGTAACCAACAACAACGGTACTGACCTGCACTGACCTCACACTAGACACAGTCAGTCTAGGAAAGGGAAAGGCTCACAGGGCCCCACCCTTAACCTCTCAAATGCTGTCTATGGATGGATTGTAGAAGGAGAATCTCTGTCTTTAGCTGCAGTCCTCTGCTGAGCCCAGCAGGACCCAACACACAGCTCCAAACCAGAATTTTCACAGATAGCCCTGGTCAATCTCAGTGGATCTCATGCACAATGAACGGAGATGAACACGAAAGACATCTGTTGGGAATTGTGGACCAGGGTAACAGAGTGGTAGGAGGTGACAATGGGCAGTATTTCACGCACGCGCACTCAATCTCGCACTCAGCAGATTAATAATTGGCAGCCAGGGACTGGGTGGGTGGCACGGGTCTCAGTGGGGCGGAGACCGTCAACAGGAAACTGCGGGTGGAGGGCGTGACCATCTCCTGGGCACACGGGAAGAGGGGAGAGTGGGAGGGTCTAGAGAAGTGACTTGCACCGAGGCTGTGTGCTAGCGCAAGTTACAGAGGAAGTAAGGCCAAGTGCGTTGAGGTTCTATTCCCTTTGTTGTTCCCTGACCTTCACGGTGGGAGCCGCGCGCTGCAGACCCGGGTGCGGGGGACGCGGCGGGCGCCGCGGGGACCTGGAGACTCTGGAGCCGCAGTGTCCGCGCGGGGCGGGCGGCCTGGGAAAGTCAGCGTCAGCAGCAGCGCAGTGGCGGGAACCGCAGCCCGGCGGCCCTGGAACCTCCCAGGTCAGAGGAGCCGCGGGGCTGGAACCCGGGAGGGAGGGGAAGGGGGTGCGAGCGGTTTCTCTGCTGCTCATCGGGAAGCCGGCTCCCTAATTCTGATGTGGGTGTCTTCTCTTGGTGTATTTTAGATCCCATGGAATAAGACTGGTTTCTCGTCAACTGATCATCGGATTGCCAAAATATTCTTGTAATAATCTAATCGAATATAGATTTATCTTTTGAGATTTGCAATTACGATCCTGTTACTATGGTGGAAACGACAAAGCTCTTGAAATTTACAGTCATCCATACTAATTTCCGAGTTATTCACTTCCATATGCAAGACAGTGGCACATGGAAACAGAGACTTGGATTCGCAGGAGCATTTAAAGTATAACCAAGGAACGCCTCAAAATTCCATTGAATCTGAAAACACACACACACACACACACACACACACACATATATATATATATATGCGAGTTCCACAGTATCCTTGTAAACATTAACTTTTAAAATTAAACTTTTATTTACCATTAATTTACCACCTGAGACATATGCACACTGTAATACAAATACAGCATTCTGAGGGATGTCTTTGCCAGGCCTGGTGGCATAGGCCATAAATCACAACACTCAGAAGGCAGAGGCAGTTGGATCGCTGTCATTTGGAGGCTTGCAAGGAGTACATAGTGACTTCAAGGTCAGTCTGCACTACACAGAAAATTGAAAAGGAAAAAAGAAATTTGAATGCATAGTAGTATAGAATAATATTAGAAAACATCTTTTGAATACTTATGATAACTCATGTGTATCAGAAAAATGTCTGCAAGAGTCTTTTGTCTCCTTGGTCCAAGAAAAGCACTCTGTCCATGGACACATGACCAAACTTATGTTTGAGTCTGGTGTTTGACGTGTTTGAGACCTGAACTCACAGTGTTGCTCTGTATGGCTCAGAAGTGTGTATTACAAACAATACATAACACAGGACTTAAGTTTTGGGGGCGTGTGATGCTCTCTTTGTGAGGAGGCCTTGGCAATCTATGGGGCCATGGATAGTAGACCAGTATTCAGCCCTGGTGTACAAATGGACTTTGGGAGCCCATTCCACATGGAAGGATGATGTCTCAGCCTGGTCACATGGGGGAGGGCCTAGGCCCTGTCCGGGATAATATGACAGACTTTGAAGATCCCCATGGAGGGCCTCACTCTCCCTGGGGAGCAGATGGGGAATAGGGTGGGGGGCTGGGCAGGTTGGTAGGGGGGCAGAAGATGAGGGAAGGGTGAGAGAGCTGGGATTGACATGTCAAGCAAGTTTGTTTCTAATTTAAATAAAATAAAAAATGGGAAAATTTCAGAAACAACAACAACAAATATAAATTAGATGAGGAACTTTGTATGAGGAAATACTTGGTGTAACTTTCAATAAATATACTTTTGCATGGCTGTTCCTGGGTTCAGTTCATCAGAGAGGTGGGGTCTTCCTGCTGCCACATAGACCTTAGATCTTCGTCTTCCAGTGCCTTTGTATTCCAACTGCCACACAGACATGGTACAGCCTGACATTGCAGAGTTGCATCAGTGTGGTTTCTGTAACTGAGTGCTGTTTACTTGCAGTCTCCCGTGCTGCTCCTCAGTGTTTCATGACAAACTAATCTGCAAGTGTGTGAGCTTTGTGTGAATGAGTCTCACATCCCACAGAATAAGGTGAAATCCTCAAAGGAAAAAAGAAAATTTTCATGAAATGCTCTCCCTTCTTATGGGAGAATTAAAGGCTCCATCATTAGTGGTCCATGAGCAACTCAGAACATCACTAGTGTAAGATACTCTCTGCTCAGTCATTAGTTTACTTCTATCCTTGATTTTTGCCTGAGCTGTGATTGGACGTGGGATTCAAGAGATGCTAAGTAAAAATTGCTTTCTAAATATTACCAATATTTTGACATTCCATGACAGTTATGGGATCATTTGTATAATCCTGTAATTAATGTTTTCTCTTCATCTACAGAGCACAGCAATGTGTGAGAAATCCAGGGGCTTCCTGAACAGTCTCTTTCTCATGTGCAGGGCTCACTGACCACCCAGACCTGCTCACCTGTGCAGCAGAACAAAGGGTCCTGGAAGGAGAGAGGAGACAGACATTAAGGATGCAGGTGTGGGGGAGGGGTTGGTGAAGGGATGGGAAGGGGTCAGGGATGGGAAGTGGGGCAGGAAATCAGTTTGACCACATCCTGTTTCACTAGAAAGAATTCTGCAGTGTTTCACTGGCAAAAATTTCCTCAAGATTATCCTAATGTAGGCAGGAGAAAACTTTCTTCAGAACAATTGATAAGGGTGTCAATAAAATTTGACTTGCCTTGATTTTTATTCTTTGGGAGTGAAGTGAAATAATCTTCAAAAGTGCTGAAATTGCTGTTTGTCTCCATTGTCTTAGGTATATTCGTAGGAAAATTTTGGGCTATATCAAATATTGCTGATGCAGATTTTACTATGTGTTCATGGCTTTCCAAGTATTCTCATAAAATTAATTTCATATACTATTTATCTTATATGTCAATATTCAAATTGACAGTATGTAGTGCTATTACAATCCCCGCTACACTGAAAAAAATAAACTAAACTCTTTGTCTATAAAATCAGTCCTATATTCTGTCTTTCATACCTACTCATTTGGCACTTAATGGCGGGGCATTGTACCTAGAGTTTAAACATCCCAACTGAACCTGTTAGAATAGAGTCATGTAAGACCCAAGTACGCACAGGATTAACTCAATATCAGTGTTTTAGCATGATCTACAGGTACAACATTTAAAGCAAATTTCCTCATGAATTTGCCTTCTGAGACATGTGCACTGTGGGACATAAACACAGAATCCATCACATATAGATAACCATGTCCAGACCATAAATGTATTTCTTGTTTCATGTATACTGCTTGGAAGACTCTTGTGTCAATGTGTTTACACAGAAATAGAACGTTCATGATAGAATATGATTGTATTGGGAGTCATATTGTGTCTCCTTTTAGCCAGGAAAGCTCTATTAGTTAGAGCTTGGTCAACCCATCCTTTATTGTTTCAGGTTCTGATGACATTCAGGGATGTGTCTGTGAACTTCTCGAAAGAGGAGTGGGAATGCCTGGACTCTGCTCAGAGGACTTTGTACGTTGGTGTGATGTTGGAGAATTACAACAACCTGGTCTTTGTGGGTGAGAACATTTTGCTTCTATAATTCCTAACCCATCTTTTGTTTGTTGTCACTTCATAGGCAGTAGAATCTGTGAAGCTATCCTGTGAAAACTAATAGTAGACAAGGCAAAGTATAGCAGTAGGAAAGGACATTTTCATGCTATTTACTTTTCTCTTTCAATTTCCATTTTTAGTGCTGTCATCCACCCTTCATTTTGGCTCCAAGGTTCTTCCGCATACTCAGCAGGATATAATGTTTCCACTCATATCTTAAAGCTCCCTGTCCTTTATTGCAATACACATGTTTTTAATTGAGAGAAAAATTCAAGACATAAAAACTGGAAATACTAAATATACTGAAGAATTTGATAAGAAAAAATACTGGGAGAATCCTGTTTAAATTCCTCTGATTTCTGTTTTCATGTACTTAGCAGAGTATTGACTTAGACTTCTGTATTCTTTCTAAAAGCTCAGTCATGGCTCATTGCTGTCTCAAAGAACACATGGATTATTGTATCAAGGCAGACATGATCACCTATCTGGAAAGAATGAGATTGCCCTGGAATGTGGAGAGGAGAGAGAACCACAGCTAGGGTGGACTAGTGAATGAGCAGGACAACAGTGAAGACTTCAAGTGATGGAGAAAGCCAAAGCTGAGAATGTTTCTGTGATGTTCAATTCCACTTAAAATTACTCCTGATCTTTTAACTAAGTGTAGTGTCCTGGCCCACAGATGCAACCTGTCTGTTGTAACTGTTAGAAGACATTGTCTTATTATCCCTGAATCATGGTGACTTAATACTAGTAGAAAATTCAGTTTTCTTTGATTAATCTGAAGTAGGATTGGGGTATTTTGCAAAATGTTAAGTCTAACAAAAGTCTGTGAAGTATGGTTATTCTTCACTTGGCTTCCCTGTATACATAACTTCATATTTTACCTTCCTTTTTGCCAGTGGCAAATACACAGGCACACTTTTGGGAGTCAGTGTACAGAGGCGGTCTGAGAACAACCCTATGAGAACAATTAAGAGACATGGCAGTGTGTGGAGCTCAGGCAGTGGAGGAAAAAAAATAAGCAATAGCTGCCCATGACATCCCTGCCTCAAACCAGCTAGAACCTGTGATGCCTGGCATCATACTGCCTTTGCATCCATTTCTTTTGAAGAAGTTGTTTTTTTGTTTGTTTTTAATCTAGAAAAAGAAATAAACCTGTGATGATTTAGAGTAAGACTTTAATCTTTAAAGGAATTAGGTTTTCTGAATGGTAGTCTTTAATGCCTATCACTTAGTATAAATTCTGTGAACCTGTGATTAAATTGCACTCCTCTTCTTTAATTTCTGAGAAGAAATATTTAAAGATGTATTCTAAAGGTAATCTCTTAGTGAGCTCTAAGAGAAAGCTAATTTATGGCCATCAGTTATTTTTTTCCATTTTTTTCTAAGAGATTTTTGAGAAAGATGAGATAACTGTTATAAGTCACTGACCTTTGAAGGCTGTCATGGTGTGTTTGTGAGAATCCATACAATTAACAGTGATTGAAAACTGTCCATTACTGGGAACTCTGTCATCTCAATAGTTCTAGGTTCACTTATGTTAAATGACAACTTAGGGAGACAGCCATTTATCACATGTTTATTATTGGAACAAACACTATTAATCTGAACTGTACTCATTTTCAGAGAACTATTGCAAGTGTGATCCTGTCCATCACCCTGTGAAGACTGAAAAGGAGTCTTGTCAGTGTGATGAGCTTGACAAAGTGCTTCATGACCCCTCCACATGTGCACTTCATAGAACAAGTGAATCTACAGAAAACTCTAGTAACTACACATGCAGTAGTCACAGGGATGCCTCTGTTGACTCATCAAACCCAGACAGACATGAAAGCATGCACACTGGAGAAGAACCTTGTCCATCTAAAGACTGTGAGAAATCTTTACATTTGTGTTCCAGCATTACTCAAGATCAGAGAGTCTACACTGCAGAGAAAGAGCACAGGCAGGGAGAATATGATGACTGTCTCAGCTCTGCATACAGACCTTCCCAACAACCAATCGATATTGGAGAGAAACGACTCCAGTGTGGCACATGCGGGAAATTCTTCAGGAGTGCCTCAAGTCTCACTGTACATAAGAAAATTCATACTGGAATTAAACCCTACAAGTGCAACGTTTGTGAAAAATCCTTTACGCAACTTGGAAATTGTAAAGCTCATCAAAGAGTTCATACTGGGGAGAAACCTTACAAGTGCAAAGAATGTGGAAAGTCATTTCGTTACTTGGCAGGAATTAATAGCCATCAGAAAAGTCATACTGGAGAGAAGCCTTATAAGTGCAATGAGTGTGACAGATCCTTTCGTTGCTATTCATCATTGAGTATGCATAGGAAAGCTCATTTTCTAGAGGAGTTTCACAAATGCAAAGATCATGGTAAATCCTTTCTTCAATTATCACACCTTAAAAGTTATTACAGAACCCATGCTGGTGAAAAGCTTTCCAAATGTGAGGTATGTGACAAATTCTTTACCTCAAATTCAATCCTTAGAAGACATCAGAAAGTTCATACACAGGAGAAACCTTACAAATGTGAGGAATGTGGCAAATTCTTTGTTGATGAGGCAACTCTTAGAAGACATCAGAAAGTTCATACTGGGGAGAAACCTCACAAATGTGAGGTATGTGACAAATCCTTTTCCTGGAATTCAGATCTTAGAAGACATCAGAGGGTTCACACTGGAGAGAAACTTTACAGATGTAAGGAATGTGACAAATGTTTTACTAGCTGCTCAAATCTTAGAGCACATCAGAAAATTCATACTGGAGAGAAACTTGCTAAATGTATAGATTGTGACAAATCCTTTATCGATTTTGCAACTCTTAGAAAACATCGGAGAGTTCATACTGGAGAGAGACCTTACAATTGTAAGGATTGTGACAAATCCTATCGTAGTTCTTCATATCTTAGAACACATCAGAGAGTTCATACTGGAGAGAGACCTTACATATGTAAGGAATGTGACAAATCCTTTACCGGATACTCATTACTTAGAAAACATCAGCGAGTTCACACTGGGGAGAAACCTTACAGATGTATGGAATGTGACAAGTCCTTTCCACAGGTCTCACATCTTAGAACACATCAGAGAACGCATACTGGAGAGAGGCCGTATAGTTGTCAGGTTTGTAACAAATTTTTTTCCCAATCTTATCTTTTAAGGAGACATCAGAAACTTCATACTGGGGAAATACTTGATATACGGGAAGATTGTGACATATCCTATATCTGAGGTCTTAGAAGACATCAGATGGTGCATACTGGAGAAGGTGCATACTGGAGAATTGACCTTACAGTTGTAAGGAATGTAAGAAATCCTTATCCAGTTGCTCAAATCTTGGAAGGACTCACAGTGTTCATGCTGGGGTAAAACCCTACAAATTTATGAAATGTGCCAAGTCCTTTATCCGGGACTTAAATCTTAGAAGACATGCAAAAGTTCATACTGGATGCAGACTTTACAGATGTTAGGAATGTGACAAATCCTTTGTCCACTCTTCTGCTTGATGGAAACATCAAAAAATCCATAATGAAGAGAAACCATCCTTTATACAGATTTCCAATCTTAGGAGACACTAGAAAAATCATACTGGAGAGAAACTGTTTAAATAATGAGATATAGCATTTTCCACTACTGTGTGCTTACAAATCACAACAGTTTACAAAATACTGGGGAAGATCAATGAAAGAGTATCTTCATAGAGGGAGCCAGTGTGGGTTTAGAGAGAAACCTTGAGCTTGAGAAATTCTCAAGAACCCACACAGGTGACCCCGACTCAGACTACTAGCAATAGTGGAGAGGATGTCTGAAAGGGCCTTCCCCTTAATCACATCAGTGACTACCCTAAATGTCATCATTGAACATACATCCAGTAACTGATGGAAGCAGATGAAGTGAGCACAGCCAAGCACTGGACTGAGCCACTGGAATTCAGTTGATGAGAAGGAGGAGGGATAATATGATCAAGGGGTTGGGTCAAGATGATGATGGGGAAAACCCAGAGACAGCTGACCCGAGCTAGTAGGAGTTCCCAGACTATGACTGACAGCTGGGGAACTGCAAGGGCCTAAACTAGGCCCTCTGAATATAGGTGACAGTTATGTGGCCTGATCTGTTGAGAGGGGCAGGTCTGGTAGTGGGACCAGGACCCATCCCAGGTTCATGAATTGTCTTTTACGGTCCCATTCCCTATGGGATACCTTTCAAGGTGGGATACCTTGCTCAGCCTTAATATAAGGGGGAAGGGCTTTGGTGACACCCCAAAGTAGGCCTTCCCTCCTCTGTGGTGTAGATGGGGGATGGAGAGCTGGGTGGTCAGAGATGGTGAGGGAGTGGTAACTGGGGTTGCTAGGTAACATGAAAAATAAAAATTTTAATTAGGAAAATAAAATAGAAACATAAAGATAAGAAACTAGTGAAAGTCTTTATGAAGGTTTATGTTTTTAAAAGTTTCCTAGAGTGGCCGGGCATTGGTGGCGCATGCCTTTAATCCCAGCACTTGGGAGGCAGAGGCAGTCGGATCTCTGTGAGTTCGAGGCCAGCCTGGTCTACCGCGCGAGTTCCAGGACAGCCTCCAAAACAATACAGAGAAACCCTGTCTCGAAAAACCAAAAAAAAAAAAAGTTTCCTAGAGTGTATAATAAAATAAAATTCTATATATATATTATAGTGGGAAGAGAGTTTCATTTCTTTTAATGTGTATATGTGCTTTGCTGGCAGCTATGACTGTACTACATGTGTGCCTGGTACAGGTGGCGAACAGAAGGGTCATCAGATCCCCTGAATCTGGAGTTACAGACAATTGTGGACTGCTGTGCATGTTGGGAATTGAATCCAAGTCTCTGATAGAGCAACCAGTTACTTCACCCCTAATCGGTGTCTCCAGCCTGTGGGCAAAAATGTAATAATACGTGCATCTTATTCAACATCCAAAAACTCATAATAATCCCAGGTGTTGTGGTACACTCCATTCCAGTTCTGAGGATACAGAGTCAAGATCTCTGAGACTTGGTAGACATCATCATCTATATACTGATTTTCAGGACAGCCAGCACTGCATAAACAATCCTAATTAATAACATAAAATCACAAAACCTTTAGTTTATCCACTAAATGTGCTATATATCTCAAAATTCATATTTCTAAAAAAACATGTTAATGTAGACTGTATATACTCCCCATGCCTTCTGTCCATTGGAAATTATACACATCAAATGTGACAACTCTTTTACATAGTGCTGAAATTGCAGAGGTAAAGAAATTCATCGTTAAAGGAAACACTGATAAGTTCTTCTAGCCACTTTCAAATATTCACACTACAGTCAAACCAAGCAAATAACAAGAAAGCAAATAACTGTGAAGAGATAAGATGTGAAAGTGACATCACTGTAATTATGACAGAAACTTAAAAATCCCCAATGGCTAAGAATGTGGTGACACACATCTTCAACCCCCAGCTCCCTGGAAGCAGAGCAAGGGTTATCCTTGTGAGTTCTAGGGCAGCACTGTCTACACTGCAAATTACAAGTCAGCCATGGTCACAGAGAAACCCTATCTTGAAAACCCAAAACAATAAGAAAAAGCAATCCATGAATGCATGCAAGAATTCATTATGAAGTACTTAATAAAACTTGGGAAGAATTTACTTGAAACTTCATAAGATACAGCTTCCATTGACTGCCAGTACACTTTCACTAAAGTAAAAGACTTATAGGACCCACCCTCAGTCAAGATGAAATGATAATTTCCCCAATCTTACACATTTGCTTGTTTTTGTAGGTTTTGAACACTTATGATTCTATGCATTACCAACTTCCTACGGCAAGTGGAGACTTCTTTCACCAATGTTGAGAGTAGTACAAAGTGATCATTTTAAACATGAATATTTAGATGTCAGATTAACACTCATCTTTATCAAAACATTAATAGTTTCTGTTATACAACCTGTAGTTTCCAAATTGTGTGTTTTGCTCTGTTTTGGGTTTTGGTTTTTCAAGAGTAGACTGTGTTTCTCAGCTGGGCCATGGTGGGACACAACTTTTACTCCCAGGACCCGGAAGGTCAGAGAATATGGATGTCTTTGATTTCTAGGCCAGCCTGGTCTACAATGTGAGTTCCAGAACAGCCAGGACTGTCACACAGTGAAACCTTGCTTCAAAATAGAAAAACCAACCAACAAAAAGACAGTGTTTCTCAGGAGCTAGGAGCCAATTTTATGTCTTGCACTGTAGACTAGGCTGGCCTTGTATGCACAGAGCTCTCCCTGCCCCTGCTTTCTGAGTACTGGGATTAAGGGTGTGCACCACATCCACCTGGCCTTTGCTTTTCTACTTCTACCGTGGCATGAGTTCTCTGTGGGGCATGCTTGAAATCCAATCAAGAGAGAGGTTGTTTATGTGCATAAAATGTGATTCCAGTTTTGCCCCAGTCAAACATGATGGCTTGCAGGTCAGTATTGTAAGATGTATGTCCCAGGGATAAGTAAGACCATTAACGTTGTTTCTCTGAAGGCAGCCCGCATGGGATCTTACAGTGCTACAAACACTCGTCAGCAGGGAGAGTTGCTTGGTAAATTCAATATTTCTATCTTATAACCACAGTGTTTGGTGTCTTCAGCTACACCATGTACTTATGGTGGCCAAGCAAGAACACTGGCAATGACCTGTTTTGTTTAGGATGACAATGGGGCCTCCCTTTTCAGTAAGTTGTAGGCAGATAACCATGACCTGGTAAGGAGAGTTTCACTAAACATCCCTGATGACTGAGAATAACATTAATTACCCTGTGGGAAACATCTGCTCAGAGTTTTAAAAATCATATTTACTATTAATTTGTAACATAGGCGAATTTCATAAGGCTTCCTCACAAATCTATACTTTTGGTTGACCCACACACACTTCAGCCCACCCCCTTTCCCCATCCCCAGTTAAACATTTAGCACACATTATCCAATGACTCATTCTTTGTCACTCATTATTCTGCAAACCTCTCTTATTGTATTTTATACTTGGGTTGCAACTTTTTTGGTTCCCATGTAGCTTCTTCACAGACATCTGAGTTGATCTTTCAGCTGCCCCCTCTCTATTTCATATTAAATGATTCCACTCCCAGGATTCCCCTCTCTAATTTTATATCACCTATATGCTACTATCTCTCCTCTCTCCCTCTGTCTCACCAGTAATAGACAATTTCTAGATTCCTGGCTACCACATGTACTCTTACTTGAACACACAAAATAAAGATTGCACCTTAGAGATACATATGCTGCATAAAACCTAATTCTCAATAATGAGAATGTGCAGAAGAAAAGCTCTCCACTTGGGCTAGAGGATGCAAAATGATGAGAGGGGTACCAGCACATAGAAGTGTTTTATTTGATTAACAGGTTTCATTTCTTTTGCATACTGACCACAATTTTCCCTCCCTCCTCTCTTACTATGCCTCCCTCCCAGGACTCCCATCTACTCTATTCCATATCCACTCCTCCTCCATCTTCATTCACAAAGGATCATGCTTCCTATTGGATTGAATAAACCATGGCACATCAATTTGTGGTAGGCCCAAGCTCCTCCCCTTCCACCAAGACAATCCAACATGGGGAACAGATTCTCTAAAGCCAACTAAGACCTAGGGACAGGTCTTTATCTCACTGCTAGGAGCCTTACAAACAGACCAAGCTACACAAGTGCCAAACAGGTGCAGATGGTCTAGGTTGGTCCCATGCAAGCTCCCTAGCTGTTGGTCCAGAGTTCATGTGCTGTCTCTGTGTTTCCCCCATCATGACCTTGACCCATCTGGCTCATACAATTCCTCCTCCTTTTCTTCAGCAGGACTCACTGAGCTCCTTCCAGTGCGTCACTGCGATCTCTACATCTGCTTCCATCAGTTACTGGATGTAGGCTCTCTGATGATAATTAGGGTAGTCACCAATCTGATTACAGTAAGTGGCCAATTCAAGCACCCTCTTCACTATTGCTAGGAGTCTTAGCTGGGGTCATCCTTGTGGATTCCTGGGAGTTTCCCTGCTACCAGGTTTCTCCCTAACCCATTGAGACTTCTCTTTCATTACTCTCCCTCTCCATTCCCCCCAAAACACACTTCCCATTCTGACCCATCCAATCCAGTCCCTAAAGTTCCCATCCCCCACCCCAAATTTATCAAGGAGATCTCTTCTATTTCCCCTTCCCAGGGAGATCTATACATCTCTCTTTGGATTTCCTATGTTATGTAGCCTCTCAGGGCTGTGGGTTGTTTGTTATTCATTCTATACTTCTGCTATCCACTTATGAATGAGTACATATCATGCTTGTTGTCTTTCTGGCTCTGATTACCTCACTCAGAATGCCTTTTTTCTAGTTCCTACCATTTGCTGTAAACTTCATGTGGTCACTGGTTTTTACAGCTGAATAATACTCTAATGTGTAAATTACCATATTGTCCATATGTATGCTTCGGTTTAGGGTTATCTAGGGTGTTTCCAAGTTCTGGATACTCTAAATAATGCTGCTATGAATGTAGTTGAACAAGGGTCCTTGTGGCATGATTGAGTATGTTTTGGGTAAATGCCTTAGATTTATATTGCTGGATCTTGAGGTAGATTGAGTCCCATTTTTTTCTGAGAAATCACCATATTGATTTCCAAAGTGGCTGTACAAGTAAGTTTGCAGTCCCACTAGCAGTGGAAGAGTGTTTCCCTTATTCCACAATCTCTCCAACATAAGCTATCATCAATTTTTTTTATCTTAGCCATTCTGACAGCTTTAATAATTGTTTTGATTTGCATTTCCCTGATGACTAAGGATGTTGAACAATTCTTTTTGTGTATGCTGACCATTTGAGATTCTTCTTTTGAGAAACTTCAGTTTAGATCTGCATCTCATTTTTTTAATTGGATTATTTGGTATTTTGATGTCTAGTTTCTTGAGTACTTTATATATTTCGGATATTGGTCAACTGCCCTATGTGCCATTGGTGAAGGTATTTTCCAATTCTGTAGGTTGGTGTTTTGTCTTATTGACCATGTTATTTGCCTTACAGAAGCTTTTTCAGTTTAATGAGGTCTCATTTATTAATCATCAATCTAGGTGTCTATGCTACTGTGTTATGTATCTATATGATCCACATGTACAACCTGTAATTCATCTTCCACTAATGCCAATTCTCTCACCGCTTCAACTGTTAATTCTCTGAGACTATTTGAATTCTTGTCACCATGTAAGGATTTGTTTATATTAATCAGTTAATCACGATTTATTCCAATAATGTGCCATAGATGGGAAATGTCTCTTAGCAATCTTTGAAAACCATTAAAGTCCCCAATCGATCTTTCTTACTTTGTACCTTTTGGGGTCTAATTTTTATACACCTATTTTATAACCTAAATACATAACAGAATCTCTTCTTCATATTTTTTTCAGGAGCAATTTGTAATCTGCAAGAAGGCAAAATTTTCTTTACTTCCTCAAACATTCCTTCTAAGTTATCTACAGTTGAATCAGATGATAAGATGTCAACCATATAATGGTTAAACTATAGATTGAGGAAATTGCTTAAGTAATAT